CCAATCAGTCCAGCCTGAGCAAGTTGAATGGTTGATATGAAGAGGATTTAATTGCTGCAATAATTCACAGCAGAAATGAGAATGAGGAGGAGAAGGAAACAGAGCCATTCCACAAGTCCTGCTATTATTTACTCGTTTTTCTTTCCCTTCCCATCTTCCTTTGTCATTTTAGCTTGTAAACATGCTATAGTGAGACCATATTCCACATTTAGGGGCCTGACACTTTGCTAGTCAAAGCCTTCTTATTTTATTAACTGATGTAAGCCAATCTAGGAACCCTTTTTGTGACAGAAGTGGGGACAAATGCACTTTAAATAATTACATAAGATGAAGTTATAGTCAAGAGTGTTCAGATCAATGGAGGACAGGTCTATTCATGCCAATAAATCATTGTTTAAATGGGACATTTCACACATTGACGCAGCATCCCTCTGAAAACCAGATGCTGGGGGGCAGTTCCATCCCTGAGCTATCTCCCAACACATGAAGCAAGATGCTTCTAAGGGCAGCCGGGCAGCTAGCCAGTTACTGCTTGAGACAAAGTGCTGAATGGATGGAAGTTTAGGGTGATCCAGCCAAGCAATTAAGGTCTTATGATCTACTTCTGAAAGGCTAGGTTGTTGATATTAAATATGAAAAACTGGAAGCGACTCATTTTCCACTACATACTGTCCTAGAAACTCTCGAAAGCCATATTTTATTTTAGATACAGAGAATGAAGCAGTGAACTAGAATAGCTTTCCAACTGACGCTAGTTCTCACAGAATATACCAAATGACCATGCCAGACTTCTGTCTAGAATGAAACAGTCAGTTGTAGTGAAAATTTGCAAGTGCCAAAAATAGAAAACTGCTTTGTGGAGGAGGGCAGGGTTTGCGTTGGCAGCCTCAACAACAGCATTTGTTACAGTTCATAAAATTGGCACAAACCATTTTCTTTTTACTCTCATCAGAGCTGCTCCTGCACTGTCTCTCTTGCACCATATATGTTTTTAAGAGATAATAATATTATGGTCTTCTACTATTAATATATGCTCTTGGGCTGCATAGGCTAGCACTGCAATTGCAGCTGCGGTCCTCTGAACTCAGTGTACTATCTGAGTAACACGCATAAGCACCGATGGCTACATTTTGCTCTGGAGCAAAGTCTCAGACTGTCTCGCTATCAAATGCTGTCTCACTATCAAATGCTGCCTTGCATTATTAAAGAGCAGGGAAAGCATGGCTTGAGGCCATCCTAGCAATAAAAGGAGACTCTTCCCAGTGTGTAAGAAGAAAAATAAATAAATATACAGCCAAATAATATTTCTTTATACTGTTTTTGAGTACTACCTGTTTCTCATTGAAGTCGCTGACACGCTGTAACTCACTTTATTAATTTTTCCATCTTACATTTGCTCTTGGTATATGAAAACTTCCAGAGACCCAGCTACAAATTATATATTGCAAGGAAAGAATCACTCAGAGACAGAAACTTAACAACACAAAAGCTGCAGAGCCTGAGCTAAATTGGTCTTTATGTTTAAGCTGACATAACCCAATGTATATTCTTTTGGTTTCATGTTTAAAATCCAGCGAGTGTACAAGAGTTACCTTACAGACAAGGCATAAAGAAATTCTGCAGCTGTGCTGTCTCCCGTACCTACACCTACACAAAAAGCTATGAATTATGATCAAGAACCTTATTCGCTTCCATCAACAAATGAAGTCATTTCTGCAGTGGCTCAAATGATCAATCATGGCTACACAACCCAGAGCAATCATTTTTGTGCAGGTGAAAGGAAAACACAGATCATTCAAATCTAAACACAGTGGCTTGCCTCATTAAAAGTGGAAGCTGCAGCAGGGAAAAAAAAGAACTTGAATGGAGCCTTTAGCTTATGCTGTAACCTCTTCCTTGGACATAAAGCATGTCATGGGAACAGAAACTTTAAAAGAGAAATCATGGGAGAATAAGGAGCTTTAGCTGGGCTTGTACGTAAGAAGAAATAAAAAATGTCCTGCTGAACTGCAATTCTTAACAAAGCTTTCAAAAAGTAAAAGTCTCCCTTTCTTTATACAACTTAACCACAGGTAAGTTTCCTGCTGATACCATATTATTCTGCACTCAACAGAAATGCAATTCCCACCACTGGATTTTGTTCCAACTACACTGGATTCGGTGGTGTTTCAATGCTGTTTCCCTTTTGTTTTCTGGGACGATATACATATATATGCCTTCTTTTCTCTGGTTGTAACTAAGGGAGAAGTTTTCTTTTGCTTTTCACTGGTGCTAAGAATTTGGAACTGAACAAGAAGAGAGGGTGAGGAACTGTTCCACAACTGACATTCCTACTGGCACACTAACTGGCCTGGGGATCTTGTAGAGGTCATTTTAGAGGTTATAGGGCAGATGGAGGCAAGAGCACAGAGCATGCCTGTTTCCAACGCACTCACGTGTGCAATTTGCGATGTCTGTTTTCTCAGTGTCTTTGATAACTTTGCCAGATAAAGGGAAAGCTACATCAGTATTTTTGGAAATAAATGGTGCTTCTCTGTGTGTAGGATAATGGGAAAACTGATCTTAAATTAGGAGTGGCAGGTTTGGGGACTTCTTACCTCAATTTGATTCAAAATAAAATGCATTTGATACTTAATTTTATTTTTTTTAAGTTTTTAAAGATAGTGTATCTAAGAGAATCTCTGTTTTCATGTTAAGGTTGTTTCTCTCTTGAATAGCAGGTGCTAGGGACAGACAAATGAGTTTTTTTCCTCCTTGTGCCCTGCCAATAAACCTCCAGGAAACATTTGGCTGGCCACCAGTGGAAACAGATTGCTGGATTAATCTTTGATACACCAGGCCTTCTTTCAAGTCTTTTGTTTTCTTTTATTAAAAAGAGCTTCTAGTTCATATGGTAGCAAAGACTTTGAAGGTGTGTGACCAAGTTCTAAATGTCCACACAAGTGTGCTTATGGGGGTGGGGGAGGGGGAGAGAGGAGAGACTTGGAGTTTTACATCAGGACAAAGCTAAGCACTGAAACTGCTCATAAGTAATTTGCATGATATAGAAATGCATAAGCATTGTTGCCATCAAATCATTCACTTAGAATGGTAAGTTAAATCACTGTGTCATGATGTTATGATATGGATGGATGCTATTTGGAATCACTAGATGCTTTGAAGATTGTATCAAAGCAATGCAACTATTTAAGAGCCTAGAAAATTTGTTGTGCTTATAAGAATTCTGACATCGAATCTACATGGCAAAGGAAGAAAGATTTCCTGAATGTTGACACAAGAAAGTTATTTGAAAGAGGAAGAGTCCTGCTCTTGCATTGGCATCAGATGTTTTCAGAAGTTTGCACAATAATCAGGTTTGCAAAGTTAGTTTATTTGCCAAAGAGATGGATTAGGGACAGAATGAGAAAAGTAGGTACTGATACCAAAAATACCTAACAGCTAGACATTTTCATAATTCCAAATGATTAACCCAGTAAGAGCTTTAAAGATATATGTGTCTCTGTTATTTCATTCTGAGAATCATTCTTAGCATTCAAAAGGGCTCACACACTGGGCCAGAACATGGAATCTTCTTTCTTTTAAAAGAAGATAGTAATTTTGATAACCCTCCTTCTGAGAAATCAGGCTGTACACCAAATTGCAGGTTGGAGGCAAACTTTTGATCCATGAACAAAAGTGTCATGTCATATTGTTCACAGTAGCTTTTATACTACTGGTTCCTAACCCATGTGATATGGTCAGGGCTTTTTTTGTCATAGAACGCACCGGAACAGCGTTCCAGCACCTTTTTCTTCAATGGATTTTACTAAGTGATTTAGCAGGTCAGCAGCAAACATCATTAACATAGTTTTGCATCCTTTTGTGTCCATGCTGATAGTGAGATAGTTCGGCTGTTCGGCTTGGGATTGGTGTGTGTGGTCGCTGCCCACTGCCAGCTGCAACCATCATGTTTATGTGTGTGATGTGAGTTCTGGCACTTTTTTTTTTTTTTTTTACAAAAAAAGCACTGGATATTATATTGCAACTTTCATAATTTCCAGCCAATACGGACAATGGTCGAGAATGACTGGAATTCACAGAATTTTAGACTAATAACTCACAGAATTCTAGTCTAACAACTACTGCTTTACACAGAATGAAGGGCTTTAGAATATTCTCATGAAATCTGCTTTTTCCACTAACTTCAAAATGTTCAAATACTTAAAAATTATTTTGAGAGAATACGATGATTCAACTTCCAGATTCTCAGGGCTCACAATTCTATATTATTCCATATATAAAGATTAGCTGTTAGGAGCCTTGCTGATGCATTGCAAAGTTACCAATAGACAGGGTTGTAACCCATAATGCAAGGTCTGGATAAGTTCTAAGAATGGGATCAAACTATTCAGTTTATAATGTGAAGCTGTTTTAGTATCACTGATTCAGGAAACTTCTCTTTGGTTCAAACCAAACCACCATCATGGTGAACGTTCAAGTGCCACTGGCTGTTTGAAGACATTCATCTTACAAATTCAATGTCCGTAACCATAATTATTCTTCTTTTATGAAATCTAATTCCTTATCTGGTCTTTCCAAGGGCAAACAGACAGTACAAAATGGTATGATCTAAAAAAGCTATACACAGGCACATTTTTGGCACAGTAAACATTTTTTTCTGAAGAACACAGCATAATGCCCTTCTTCACGCACAAATGAATCTTCCAGCAGAAATCCAGCTAAGAAAGAAGCACTACAAGTATAATTCACAGCACAACATTACAAGGGCTGTTGCAATGCTACTGAAAGGAAGCTAGACATATCGTGTCGGTTGCACACAGAATCAACTCACCATTCCCCAAACACACTGCAAGATACTCAACACACCAGCTTGATCCTAAAAACCACAAATAATTAAAAAGGCGCACAGGCAGACAGTGAGATGTCTTGGCTCCTTTGCTTTCTTCAAAACTAGTATGATTTTGAACAAAAAAGAAGACTAAACAAAGCTTTATATTTACCTGTCTACTTCCCTGCTTAGACGAGCAGCTGCTGGTACTTCTTGAAGGAGACAAGACTCTCTGAGACACACCAAGACTCTTTTCTTCAGTCATGATCCTGGGCGGAGTTTCTTCCGAATCAATTCAATTAGAAAATCATCAAAAGAACAGGAAGCCATGGAAGAGAAAGGCAAGAGTCATCATTCTCCAAATGCATTCCAGTGGCATTCTTGGTGCTCAAAGGAATTTCCTAAGGGAAAGGAAAAAACCCAACAGTATGCAGATCAGATTTAGGCCATAGTAACTCATGCAGCAGTTAAGAACTGATGTTTTCAGTAATACAGTCTGACAGCATTGCTATACAATTAGCCAATCTAAGGTAAAGGATAACATCCATGCTTTAAGGGGCGCAGATGGAATAGGTTCCAAAATGATGGGAAGGCAGATTGACATGAAATATTATGTTATGAATTGCCTTTTTAAAAAAATAATTCAAAGGGAAGTTGAATAGGAACTGGATAATAGTAGGGACAGAGCTTCATCAGCATTGGCTACACAGTTTTCAAATAACCTTCCCAGTGAATTCTATGAAGTTCATCAGCTAACAGATGTGGCTTTTTATTGGCTTTGATGTTCATAAATAATGGTAAAATAAAAGGCTAGAAAAATTACGCCATACTTTAGCACATTTTATGCTGTGTCACATAAAATGGATAGGATTCAGAAGTAGTCAGAGTAGAACTACTGAATTTCAATGGGATGCAGTTGGCCATGACTAACTAAAGTCCCATTCATGTTGATGGTTCTGCTGTATGTTTGCCTAAGTCTGGAGCTAACCTATTAGGTCAGCATCCACACCAAACTTATAAGGTGGGTCTAAATGCATTAATAGGCAGAGCTAGGTTTAATCTAAGAACTGTGGGCTCACATGCTGTGATGTTATATAACATCACATCAGTTCACAATTATGCTCAAGGTATAGGATATCTTCAAGCTGTTGGCCACAGCAAAATCAACATTAGCAAATTGAACAGAAATGCAGCCTTGTTGACAGCAACAACAACAGCAACATTCCACACTAAAGGCTTGCCCTAATACTGAGCTAACAAGAAGGGCTTTCTAACTAAGGAGGGGAACCCAAATGAATGTTCAGCCCCAAGGCTCCTCAAAGCTTTAAGGTGGTCCTGTCTGGACTATTTGCTGATCATGCATAACATGAATTCCAATTGTACAACATGAATTCCAATTGTTAAAAAGCCAGAATCTCACCCAACCACTTCAGGTGATGATAGTTTATATTTTCCACTCAATTCTTACAGTGGTTCTTAAAAGGTGTGACTATTTAAAACCTGCCAACTTATTTTATCTAGCCCATAGATGAACACATACAATATCCACAGGAGACTGGCAGAGAACATTCCAAAATCCAGGTTATCATTAAGACAACCAAACATCACAGGAAAGTGTGCAAGTTTCAAGATCAACATTTTTCTCTTGCTAGCTATAAGTATCTTAGGGGCTGTTTCAGGTCCAACTTCCTAACCACCACATAAGCTCTGAAGAAGCAGGCACTATCCTGGCTCACATCACTCAAATAGTTACTGTGGCTTAATGTACCAGTGAGGGCTGGTACATTTGCCAGGTGTCCCAAGGACCATTTCTGCATGGTGTCCATGGATGCTGAAGTTGCTGTGGCTTGTAATGTCATAGCCCAAAGAGCAGATGTTGTTCAAGGGTCAGACAACCAACAGATACTCTGATATTATCCAAGGTTGTTCTTTTGCCTGAGGTCATATAGCATAACAAGTTACAGCAAGTCAGGTATCTGCAGGCACCTATGCAAAAATTGCATCTGTGGTTGCCTAGCCCAATGCATAACCAGGTCACTGTGATTTCAAGTCCTGTTTCTTTTTCTCTCTGTTCTCTCTTCTACACTCAGCTGCCACCAAATACATGTTTTGTAATTCTTGCCCCATGAACACATATGGAATTCTTGAAAGTTTGTACATTTTTGGTGCTCTTTTGGTCAGTTTCATAAATACATTGCACTAATATGGGTTTCAAAATTTCTCTTAGCCAGTGGGGATACCTTTATTTTTGTTTTAAAAATAGACAGCAGTATGTGCAGAGAATTAGGTAATAATAACGCCAACACAAATGGAGAAAAATACATATAGAAAAATGACCTCCCTCCCCATGTAACTGTCCTAAGATGGTCACTGGTCCATGATGAAGGCAGATCAAGATTTTGGTAGCTACCTGCTATCTGACAAATGTAAATACTAACAGCAGTCAAGGTTGTGGCCTGCAAAAAAGACCTTTTCTGGAATTCCACCTGCCCCCCAGCACCAATGTATGTGCAAGTTATCATAAACATGGTAACAGATTCTTCCCATTTCACAAAAGCTAAACTAAAGCGCAGTATCTTTCACAAACTCAAGGAAAAAAACCATTGTGTCACTAATGCATAACATATGATATTCCTTCTGTTAGCTCTTCAAACTAGAAGAGTACACTCTGTAAAATAGGACACCTGGCCACTCCAAATGCTGTTCTAGAATTCACTTTCTTGAACTCTAAAATGTCAGGCACACTAAAGACCCGACACCAATAGTATAGCGTGGCAGTTTTTATATCTTGGCCACTACCCTTCACAGTGTATGAAATAGTTTCATTGGCGAATATTGATGTCCAATTCCCAGATAAAGGTTTAATTTCAAATGCCAGAGTTTTCATGTGCTTTGTGTTTTCACAATGGGTAAGGAGAGTGCTGCATTGCTGAAGTCAATTTTATGGTTTTATACAGTGCCTTTTACTAATTTATTCCTTGTTCACAGGGAACACCAATGCTCCTCACACATGCCTGTGTTTTGTCTGTGTTTCCTTGTGCTTTTTAAGGACTGCTGCTACATTTATTCACACAAGCCCTTTGGGTGATAACACAGGGCTTGTTGTTTCAGTGAATCTTATGGTAGATCTATCATCCTTCCTTTCAACAACAAACTCAGGCAGTTGAGTGCCAAGAAGACAAGAGCCAAACTGGGACAGTAAAGAGAAAAAGGTGAGGAGAAATTAGGAAAGCCAAATGAACCCCATTTATACCCATTTTTAAAAATTAGTATTCTCTTGGCATAATCAGTGGCTTTCAGAAGATATGGAATGCTTTATTTGAAAAGAAAAAGAGAGCACTGGGGAAGGTGGGAAGGAGGATGGTCTGGCTTGCTTGAAATTCCCTCAATAGCCTCCACAACAGAATCTGGAAGGAGGGCACAGCTGGCTGGCTCCCTAAGGAAGAATGCTTCTTGTAGGGAGAGAGGAAAATTATCTTCAGAAATTATTCTGAAGTTCCTGTTTGTCTCTCCCATAGTCAACAGGGTTTAGCAAAGATACCGCATTCCATCATAATTGGCTGAATCTAAATCAAGGGTGGCCATGGTTCTGTCCTCCAGCTGTTTCAGCCTGCAGTTCCCCTCACCATAGGCTCCGCTGGTCAGAGTTGAAGGGAGCTGCAAGCCAAGCCATCTGGCGGGCCATAAATTGCCCATCCCCTAAATCAGAACACCACTCATAAGTTCTTTTATTTAAAATCGATATCTCAGAAGAATCTCTGTGAGGCAGCTGGGTGTCGTGAACACTGAAAGTATTTGGTGCCAACAAATATCACTGCACAACTTGATAGCCTTTGGAATTAAATGCATTCCCCTAGGTATTTTAAGACTGTGCTGTCCTGAATTGCCTGATGCGCTTGCAATACAAGACTAAAATTAGAGCAGCTCAGAACCACTGACATTCCATATATTCACAGCATGGTGAGTCTCCAGCAGACTTGCTCCAAGTGTGTGCCAAGCTTTTCTCCCATGGGTTCATGCTCTTTCCCCACAATCCAGATGCCATGAGTCCAGGTGTATTAAGAACACTTGCATTCCACACTGTTAGCTGCTGCTAGAAAAAGACTGGAGAGAATGCCCAGGCATGAACATAGTGCCAGGTGGCATGTCCCTCCCCCCATCTTGTCCCTCTCTAGAAGACTTACCAGGTGAAAAAACAGCATTGGCTGAAGTAACATTCTGCTTAAGATGTGGGAGCAGTACCTGCCCAGGTGAAATGTATGTTGAATCCAAACTGACACATCCTCTCCTGCCCTCCCTTTCAGAAAAGCTTCTGACTCCACCTGCAGTCAGACGCTGGAAAGCCAGATGGTGGGGATGTTGGACACTTCTCAATTGGTCCTCTTGCTTCTCCTGTTGCCTCCTTACAGGGCCAAGGCAGTCCTCCTCAACCTCCTTCCCACCCAATTCTGAAACTTCCCCCACTTTTTCCAAGGCAGGCTGGTTCTCACGCTGCATCTGAGTATTTCCCCCCAGTAGCCTTGAAATGGCAACATCGCCTGCCCCCCTCTGCCCTTCCACTTCCTCCTCTGAATCAGACGGACTCCATCTGGGGACACTGTAACTTGAGAAAGCCAGGTATACATGATGACCCTATGCTCAGTTCACAGGTTAATCGTTTCTCTTCTATTATGCACCAAGGTGTATTTTTAAATTCCCCTCTTTTCCATACTTCTAAAAAGGAACCATTTGTTCCAATGGGCTCTTTTAGAATAGCAGCAATGATTCCCTAACTCCATATTTCAATTGTCAGCGCCCGACGAAACACATTTCACTGTCTGCTTCCACGAGACGTGAATATAGCATGAATGTGTCATCACAATTCACCAGTATCTTGGCTGCTTGGGTTTGTTCTAAGGAGTGAGACACAAATCTCTCTCTGCTGTCAAGACTCTGAACATCTGATTGCTTAGGCATAATTGTATACAAGAACCTGCACAAAGGCCTTCGAAAGCTTGGGGAGAAGGGAAAAAATCAGCCATTTTCAAATTCTTCTAAAGGAAATAAGCAAGTACCATTTAACTAGGAGCTTTACATAGTATAAGGATCCCTGTGCAATAAAGAAAAAGTGGTTTGGGGAATTATTTGCAGGAACCAAGATGCAAGTCCAAAACGCTTTTGATTCTGTAAACAGATGTGGAAGCTTAAGAAAGTGTCATGGATGCCCTCATAAAATAGTTCCCATGTTGGGCATGGCTGGTCGCAAAACCCCCATTTCCCAGAAGGCAAACTAGTGAGAAGTCACCTGCTCAAGAATGGCAAGGCAACTTGCAAGGAGTGGTGGGATCTGAACTTCAAAATACAAGACCACTCTTTTGAACCCAAATAGTAATGGTACTGAAGGGAAGCACTTTCCTTTGCA